GTGCTCCGAATGAAACCTCACCTGCATCCAGGTGGGAGCGATCGGGGCCCAGGAGCAGAAGTACTTGGGGTACAGGGTTTAACGACACACTGCGAAGACGCAAGCGTGTGAGCGGCCATGGATTCGCCATGACCGGGGCCGCAGGAGGCGGAACGCTTGGAAAAAAGCTCCGAAGCCATTTCACTTTTTGAGAGCAGAACATCTCAGAGCTTCAGACACATCAGATACTTCCCCTTCTCCTTTCTTGCCTTCAAAGCAGGGCAGAGGAAGCAAAACTCTCCAGTAGTAAGTAGTACTACAGGGTTGTGGGATATTGTTTACAAAAAAGAAAATACCACTGCCCATTTTTGCTTGCTTCAATTATTCCCCAGAACTGGAAGTATTAACTTTTCTTCTACCGAGTACTCTAGGTCAAGAAACTACGAAAAAAGTGAGCTAGATGGCAACGAGGAATAACTTTAGGTAACTGCCTGAGGCAAAAAATCACGGTGAGAGTCCAGGCCCCGGAGCGTCCAAAGCAAGCAGAGTTTTATAACCTCACACCGGGCTTCGGGGGAAGAGCCCAACCCGGAAGGCTGGAACGGGACCAGCACCGAGCGGTTTCGCCCTGCCCATCGTCCCCCAGGCAGAAGGGACGCCAGGCACGTCCCACAGCCCTCGGCAGGACGCGGTACTTCCAAGCCCCCCCGAAATCTCCGCAATCGCAAACTTCACGTTTTCAGATTTCGTTAATAAGACTGCGACGCCTTCCTCCAACGCAGCAGGGTCTGCTCCCGCTGCTGCCGGCAGATGCTTGGGACAGAGGAAGGAGCCACAGACAGAGCACAAGAGCGGGGAGGAAACCCAAGCGAGAAAATCCGCCCTGCGGGGTATGATCTGCAACGCTGCTTGCGAACACCGACGCGGCAGCGCAGAGCAAGACCCGGTGTGCAAAGCGGGGAGAGCTCAGAAGCAGCGCTAGCAAACAGCCCTGGAAGAACTGGGGAGCCTCTCGCCAAAGTCCGGGAGCGGAGCACTCGACCAGGCTGAGAGGCCTTTCCCCGAGAGCGCGGAGACCCTACCGGCACCTCCGCGCCGTGGCTCAACGCACAGCCACCGCTCCCACCGGCCTGCGTTTGTAGGCAAGGTTTCGGCGACGACTGCTCCTGCAGCTTCCCACAAAACCTCAAAAGTTCGCCCTCGGGGCCACCCGTGCCTCGCAGCAACCTAAACCCCCAGCTTTCCAGCTACACAGCGCCAAGGTTTCTTCTTGGGAAGCGATCCGCGCTACCTGTGCGGTCACCGGGAGCCCCCGCGGTGCGTGGGACACCCAGCAGAGCTACGGAATCGCACCAAGCCTGGGCTTCACCCAAGGCTGCGCAGACAAAGCCTCCGGGGCTGCGCAGCCGGCCCTCCCACGCTCCACGCAGGCTTCCTCCCCACGGTATTTATTTTTCGCCCTCCACCGCTACGTCTCTTCCAGTTCTAAGTGTTTTCACGCACAAACAAGTTGTCATATTAAACCAATCTGGCAGCAGAACCGCAGGCCCAGAGGGAAGCAATCCTGCGCGTCTGCAGTAACTTAATCTGCAATTTCAATGGGACGCAGTTCCAGCAGCCCGCTGCCCCGAACCTTTGTGCGGCGGCTGGGCATTGTTCAACAGCTGCCACGCTCCGCTCTGCCCAGCTGCATTTCTGCCACCGTTAAATCACCATTATTTTTTAACATGCAAAAAAAAAAAAACCACAGAAGAAAAACATCTTATTACAGCAATACTAGGCAGGCCCCGAGCCCGGCGGGGGGGGGGGCATCCCC